CTGCTTCTGCCACTTCGCTGCTGGTGGAGTCTGAGCAAGTGACTGGATCCTCAACTTCCTCATCTGTGAAATGGGAAAATAGTTCCTCATCCCCTTAGTGAGTATGAGATGAGATACTGCTGGTACAGTGCTGGCTGATGGAAAGGCTTCATAATTCAATAAAAAAAAAAAAAGAAAGTCTTCATAAATGGCACGTGTTAATGTTAATTTTGGAGTTCAGTGACTGTGTGCTTCCTGCCTAAACAACAATGGACTTCAAGATGGACGGGAAGCACTGTGCACAGTCAGAAAGTCTTAAAAGTTTCAACTGAAGTGCAAGTCAATGGTAAAATACTTTTGAAGGGGCGTTAAAAGGGTGTGGGCAGAATAAGAAAGAAGGTGAGGACCGTAGCCAGCACACTGTGTGATACTGAACAGAGGGTCACAAGTCATCAGTGTGAACTGCTTGTCCTGAAGGGCAGGATGAGCTGGGAGCACTGGACACCATGGGCATCAGACATGGTGAGGAGCTGGCCCTGAGGTGGAATGCCAGCCCAGGCATACTCTGAGCAGGTGTGCTCACCTGGCGGGGGGCTGGCTAGTATCTGTGGCGCTGCACCATGTTCCAAGTGCTGAAGTTTACAGACATTTTCTGCATAATTAGTTGGAGAGTCGGTCTATGCAGGATAATTAATCCCAACAAGAAATCAGGGCTTACAGGGCTGTGCTGGTGCCAGCCAGTATCAGGTCCCAAGGGGTGTGCAAATCTCTTCCTAATGCCATGTCCAGCAACGTCACACTGGTAGCCTGACACAAGCCTCAGGGGGAGTATTTACACCATGGAAATTGGAAAATGCAATAAATCAGGACTTTTTGTTCCCTCCCTTTCAGAGAATGAGTTGTTAAATATTTACCAGCTCACTGCTGGCTCTCTGCCATAAAAGATTTTTTAAAAATTGAATTAATCTGTGTTTTAGAAACCTATCTCTGGCAGAGGGTGAAGGAAACACTGGATTACAGAGGAGGAAGGAGTCTATAGATAAAAGTGGTGGGAGGCTCTGGCAGTGACCTAGTCAAGAATTGACAAAGCTTAAACCAGGAAAGTGAGATGTCTGAAGTTAATACTTATTTATATAAGTCATTTCTTTCTCAGTGAGCTGTTTCCACATTAAAGCATCAGCAAGTTTGCTTTAAAACTCAAAAAATTAATTTTAGAATAAAATCCCATGAGTTTGGGTGGTGCCTGTGGCTCAAAGGGGTAGGGCGCTGGCCCCATATACCAGAGGTGGTGGGTTCAAACCCAGCCCCAGTCAAAAAAAAAATCCCATGAGTTCACTCAGTACTTATTACAAGTGGGCTGTATGGAAAGGGAAAAAAAAGTCTGAATATACACACAAAATCATTAATTTGGTTCCTTGCTTTACACACAAAATTACTAATTCAGTTTATTGCTTTTCTCTTCAGGCAAAGTATTATCGGATTATAGTGGCAATAGCGATGAGAAAAAATAACTGGCACATTGACCAACAAGGTCACGTTTCAAGGGCTCCTGGGAAAGGTTGTCTTTTGTTTGCATAAGTGACTTTTATGAGGCTGCATTCTGGGGCTGTGTTCTGCCTTCACCTGTGACAGTGACATATTCCAGGGAAGGCTATCAAGGATTTATTAGTATATACAGCATCTCTTTCAACACTGAGCCAAAATGCACCCTTGGTAGGAAGTCCTTCCTAGGCCATCATCATTTCACACCTTCCCGCCACCGACACAATCTGTCACCATTACATTAATTTCTGTGGTTTGGTGTTCTCCTTTAGCATCTTTGTTGGGCCATTTCCTTTATATGTAGGCTGTCATCTAGAACCTAGGCAAATCTCTCTCTGCTGTGCTAGAGTTGAGGAAATCCTGGTTTGGGCTTGAGATCTGCTAGTAGGCTGGCTGTGCAGTCTTGGACAAGTCATTTTACCTCTACAAAAGGAAAGGAACGAGATGCTCTCACAAATGAGTATGCGACCTTGTTAAAGTTCTTCTGACTCTTCCACTAGCACCTAGGCCAGTCCTTGGTAGGCAGTAAGTTTTCAAGAAATGATTTATCCAGTCAAGAACATAATCAGACTTTTCTTTTTGGGATGGGGACCCCCACTCTTTGTCTCGGAGAGAACTAGTATTTCAGACTAAATAGTCATAAATATGAAACTCCAAACTATCAGACTAACATGCTCTAGACAAGGTCAGAAGTGTATTTGGAAGTAAGTCAAAGGTTGCAGGGTAATTTGGAGCCGGTAGCAGTGGACACAGGGAATCTTGAGCTGTTTCTGCTTTGACTGTGAATTCCTAGGCTCTGAGATACTTGCCCCATGGTGCTGATCCTCCAGTTTCTCTTTCCACTTGCTTCCCTTCAGCAATAATAATAAAAGGCTAAAAAACGTTTAGATTGTGAAATGAAAAGAATTCCTGGCAAGCAAATAAGATCTTTATGAGTTTGAAGTAGAAACGTTAATCAAGTTCAATGTCAAATGTGAAGCAGTACTTTATTCAAAGCCAAAGGAACTTCTATTATGATTGGTTGAAAGAAAATAAATCCTACATCATATTTTCCTATCAAACTCAATTTGAAGCTTAGAACTCTTATTGAAAGAAAATAAAAAGTTTCTTTAAAAAAATTATTTTTAAAAGGGCTAGAGTCTCACTATGCTGCTCAGGTCAGACTTAAACTCCTGGGCTCAATCGACCCTTCCCCATCTGTCTCCTGAATAGCTGGGATTACAGGCGCAGGCCACCAGGCCTGGCTGGAATCAGACGTTTCTGTCTCAGTGGGGAGTGATACTGCTTGGAAGTACAGCCACAGCCCTTATTGACGCTATTTTGGTCAATGAGGAAATGTGATAGTGGTCATCCAAGGAAGCTAAGTTTATCTTATTAAAGAAAGACAATTTTTTTTAATAAACTCAGATTATGGTGCATGCAAAGTCTACAGTAGTGCACAGGAACACCCTAGGTATTCATGTTTACCTACCACTCACCCAGGGCAACTTCCAGTCCTGCAGGCTCCTTTCTTGGGTAAGTGCCCCTGTACAACTGTTTATGTTTTATACCATATTTTTTCCCGTGCCTTTCTATGTTTAAATACCCAAATACTTAGCACTGTGTTACAACTGCCTATAGCAGTGGTTCTCAACCTTCTTAATGCTGTGATGTATTTTCATTGTTACAAAGGGGTCGGGACCCACAGGTTGAAAACCACTGGCCTATGGCCGTGGTATGGTAACATCCTGTTCAGGTTTGTGGCTGGAGCTACACAGCCTAGGTGTGCAGTAGGCCACCCCATCTAGGGTTGTGTACGTGTCACTGTGATGTTTACACAATGACGAGGTGTCGAAGGACACGTCTCTCAGAATGTATCCCTGTTTTTAAGCAACCCATGTCTGTATGGGGAAAAAATGGTTCTGGAGTGAAAAACTTATTGTTTTTATGTATGCAGATATTCACACAGCACATTCACACATAGACAGTGTATCTGTGGTATTAAAATTTCACAGAGGGAGAAGGAAGCTACACTCTGAGTGTGTGTCTGGCTTGAGCCCACAGTGAAATCACGCTGTCACAGGGTGAGGAACAAATGCTGTCCAACCTGACGACGCTCAGACTCTCTGGAAAATCCATCAGCTGCCAGAGGCTTGCTGGCAGAGAGTGAGCAGACAGCCCAGGTTTGGCTGCTCCTGGAAGCTGAAACACAGTAAGTCCTCCAAAGGAATTTCACAGGACAAGTGTTTTCGGTGGAAATCAGTTTAGTCTCCCACCGCACGGAGGCATGAGAAACCTGGCTCTGTGACACCTACGGGACCACACAGCAGACAGCCTTCCTCTGCCCTAAGAGGTACTCAAGTGGGGAGAAGCACAGCTTTGATTTGGCAGGAGGCAGAGCTGCCCAAAGCCGGGACAGACACCCGGCCCTCAGATGAGAACATGCACTTGAGCCACACGCAGCTTTTGATACACCCAGCTGATATCCCTGCAAGGAGACTACCGCCCAGCTCAGGGTGGGAGAAGAATCATCTGTCTGTCTTGCTGGCAACAATAATGGTGGTGCAGGGATTTTTTTTTTTTTTTTTTTTTTTGAGACAGAGTCTCACTTTGTCACCCTGAGTAGCCATGGTGTTACAGCTCAGAGCAACCTCAAACTCTTGGGCTTCAGCGATTTTCTTGCCTCAGCCTCCCGAGGAGCTGGGACTACAGGCACCTGCCACAACGCCCACTATTTTTTGAGATGGGGTCTCATTCTGGCTGGTCTCAAACTTGTGAGCCTCAGTCTTGCAGAGTGCTGGGATTAGAGGAGCCACTGCACCCGGCCCACATGGCACAGGGACCTTGCTTTGGCTTCCTCCTGCTGCCGCACTGCTTCCCCCCAGAATGGGCTCACTGCCTGCAATGATGGAGACATCTCAGCTTACAGCTTGGAGGCCATGTAGTTCCACTACCCATTACCCATGCGGCCAAGTTCTTGGCAGAGAAGTCCCTCCAATATTTCTCTGAAAGCCACCTTGTTGTGACATCTCCGATGCCACCATCCACTGGAGGCATTGTGATGTGCGGGATGATTAAAGGTCTTGGAGACCTGAGGTCTGGAAGTTGCTTCCGGCCCTCGCTGGGGAGAGCCACCCCTTTCTGATTTCTGTTCTCCATCAGACATGAGCCTCCCCTTTCTTACCTTGTGGGATTTTGTAATAAAGGAAAAATGTGCAGCATCCATAATGCAATAACACTAGTTCTCAAAACCATAGGAGAAAACTATGAAGGTGTGAAATTACCTTTCTGTAGAGTACTGTTCCCATTTATTTTCCACTTTTAAATATTGCAAGCACTTTTAATCAACAAGGCAAAGGCCAGCATGTCTGCCGAACTTCAAAACTACTAAGGGAATCATTCCCCAGATTGCTGCTCACCTGTGCTCATGGTCAGGTGTCCCTGATTATGAAAGACACGAAACAAAGCCACACGGAAGCTTCTGTGGGGTAATTACTCACCAGCTGCTGTTCCAAGGGGGGGACTGCCTCGTGATGGCCATATATTATGCCGGGATTGTACTGACTGAAAAGGACCGGATAAAAGACCTTCTTCCCTGCAAACCAGAAGACAAGCATTTGCTTAAAGCGAGATGATGATTAGGTTTGTTCATTGACCCTGAGCCTTGTGAACCAGCCCAGAAGTTTGCATCTATTTTTCTTTCCCCGCCAACTCAAACCTCAAATAGGTCTTTAGAAGGATGAGGCAGAGCACAGAGAGATTTTCAAATTTTTCTGACCTCCCAGCACAGGAATAATATTTAAAATACTGACAGTCAGTGGTTCTGCTGAGTACCAACCAATGTGAGTGGGAGTGGGAGACAGCCCTGATGCCTGCTGCCCCCTCAAACATGAAGCCTTTCATTTCCTGGCTGGTGGGGTGGTCTCCAGGGTTGCCAAAGAGGCCAGGGTGACTTTGGGGAAAGCCCAGGGCAGTTGCTCTTTACCAATTAACATTAAAGAATTTCTGTATTTTAACAGCTGACATGGTTACGCTAGTAACCATGATATTGGCTGAATATCAGCCTTGCTTTTGAGTCAAGTCTTTGAAAATTAATTCTGTCTTGGAGGTTCTTCCTATTCAGAGCCCTTCTGCCCTTGGTAGCTGCCTGCAGGTACCTTTCTTTTATAGATTCAGGCAGCTTTTCCAGTGGGCATTCACTAAAGTGGAACTCCCAGTTGGAGATGGAAAAGGGATTATGAACAAGAACTTGGAACAAAGAGACCCAGAATTATGGTGGCCAACAGGCCCTCAAGATGGCCCCAAAGGAGAAATCAAAGCAGACAGTCTTCCTTTTCTTTGCCATTGGAGTATAACAGACTGACTGAGAAGCAGGACATCCCAGTGGACCCTGAAGAAGATGACACATGAATGAGAGAGAGAGATGGATGCCACCTGAGGGTGGGACAAGGGACCCGCACCTGGCTGCGTGTTCAGCCTACACGTGTTAAGAAACTCAGAGGTAAAGTAGATATCGACGTCACAGAAAAAGAGGAGGACGTTGCTTCCCTTCCAGAAGCGGGCTCCGACATCCAGTCCTTTTCCCCGAGAAAATTCTCCGTTCAGTGGGATGAAGGTGAAGTTCCTAAAGTTGGCAGCTCTGAAAGGCAAGAGCAGGTCCAGTCACTCATGGGCCCATGATTCCCAGGCTGACAGCATCCCCTGGAAAATACATGACCTGGGCCCATCCAAATCTCATCACTTTTCTTTTGTAACCCTGAGGGTATTGGGGCTACCCAAGCAGTTATGGAAGGACCCAGACCCACTGGAAACTCATTGGGATTAAAGGTGCCAAGAACACCTAAGGAAGTCTTACTTCTGGTAATTTCCTCATACTAAAAACTCTACTGTCATCACTGTTGAATACTCTTGGTGATGGGGACAATGTGAACCAGTAAAGACCAGGAAAGCCATCTAGGAAAATCTCCAGGCGTCCCCAGCCACCCAAATGAACCCACTGAGCCCAAGAAACAAAATCACTGTGGAACGGCTCTCTCTAGCATCTTCTGATCTGCGTTCAAGTCCAGGAGCCAGGCAAGGCGCTCTAGCTGTGTATCTGTATCAAACCCAGATGTAAACCCAGATTGCCTCCCCACGCTGCGGTAAAGCAGCATGGCATGGTGGAAGAAGTGACCAATTTGGAGTTAGAACACTGGAATGTCCCAGACCTGGCTCTCCCACAGACAGGCCTGTGATCTAGCCAAGCCCATGAGTCTCCCTGAGCCTCAGTTGCCTCATCTGCAAAACAGTAATAACAACACCTTGAACCAACCCACACAGTTATTAGCTAGATGAACGGTGCCAAGAACATAAAACCCTCTGTAGGCATCAGCCATGGCTGCTATTGGTCCCTGCAAGGATTCCCAGGCCCAGGGTGGAGAAGCCAAGATGTGTCTTCAGTTTGCTGTGCTTTCCCAGGAATGGCAGAACCTTCTGGAATGGGGCATGTCTTGAGCAAAAGTTCTAGGAATTCAATCAGTGCCTAGTGGGACAGGAATTGTCTCAATCAGCTTCACCCCTGTTCTGGCTCCCGCTTGGGGAGGGCCCAGCACTTGGCAAATCCTCCTTTTCCAACATCCTCCTCCATTCTGCATCCTCTCTTCCCCACACCACCTGGCCCATCCTCATCCCCAACTTCTCATCTTGATACATTCAAAGTTTTGTACACAACTCATTTCCATTTTTAAAATTTTATATTCCAAGTAACTATCTGGGGTAAAGGTCAACACAAATTCAGAGTCATTGACTTTTAAAATGCCAAGTTGTACTTTTATCTGGTAATTTAATCAGTGAAACTGGTTTTGCTGTGCCCTCCTTGACTTCCCTTCCTCTCTCAGACCTGGGAGTGAGCTTGGTTTCTTATCTGGGGAATCTGCGGGCCCATTCACAGGCCCATCCTTGTCTAAGTCTGATGCCAGACGTGCCTTTTAGGTTTGGCTGGAGGTAGGAGGCCTCATGATGAGAACAGCCCAGGCCTGAGTCAGGAAACCCGGATCCGGGGCCTAGAACCACGCCTGGTTCCCACCACATACTCAACAGACATTTCTGAATGGAAGTGTGAATATATGAATGATTCTAACCCTAGCTCCGCCCTCTCATTTATTTGTCACTCCATATCTTTTGTTAGTTTCCTTACTGCAAACCCCAGCAGTTACAGAGTTCAAAGACACATTTACACACTAACATTCTACTTTTCCATGATTCTACATTTACTATAGACCTGTTCTACGTTTGGAGGGTTCTTCTCCTCTCTCAGAATTTTATCTTGAACTTTTCTTTAGGTGGGTGGCCCCAGTTTGTATTTTCTGTGAGTGGCACTGAACTTGTGCTATGAAGCCCATTCAGTATGATGTCAGCTCCAGTCAAGGGCAGTGCTACTACCTGCCTCAAAAGACATTTAGGTGGTGTGAGATCTTTGCAGGCAGCTTCATATCTCCTAGAGGATTATACAGCACCAGCTCCTATAGGTCAGCTAAATCCATTTCTCCCGACCCTGTCTGGTCAGTTTCCAGGAACGTTTTGCCCATAGGAGATGCCTGGGTCTTACCTATTCTTCTAGGGAACTCTCCAGCCCAACCCATCTGTTATCCTGGGCCCATCTCCCTTTAACTTGCTGTGCATTCAACATACAGCCAGTAGCAGGTCTTTCTATATTTTTGTTTCAAGGTTTATACCCGTTGAGACCCCTGCTTCCTCCCACCCCCCCCCCCATTCTGTAGGGAAGTTCACTAACTTGCAGGGCAAGGAGGACTGACCTTCCCAAACACAGTGAATGAGCAAGTCCTTCCTCAGTCAGGTTGTATCTGATTCATAATTCAGGTACCTCTCCAAGAGTGTTTCCAGATCTTAGAGATTTAAGCTATAAAAACAATTTGTATTTGAACGATGAGAAGCAACTTCTGCCAAAGAAGGAGAATGTAGTTCCTTCATATGCTGCATTGAGGGAACAGTAACACCAGATTTTTCTATCTGGACAACTTATAATCCATTTGTGTAGATATGTGCAATATTTACAAGGAGCAAGTCATATTGATTAAATAAGGATACAAGGCAGTGTGAGAAATTAAGGTAACAGCATTAAAGATATGATAAGGTTACAGGTGATTAATTTTTAAGTTAATGGTAGAGAGACAGTGGGTGCTACAAATTTAGAGGGCAAAGTGGTAATTCAGTATTTCTGCTTACACAATACATAAGTTAATCTAGCTTGTTCTGTCGCTGTCCTGGGAAGCACTATCAGCCAGTCCCAGACACTGACAAGGCCCAAAGTGCCAACTCTGTGATCTACCTGCAGTTCCCAGTGTGCTGCCAGGTCACTGTGCTCAGCTCCAAGTCTGTCTGCAGGTGAATAATGGTACAATTTTTCCTCTTGTATCCTCAACCCAAAACTTCTTTTAATGAACCAGTTATCTGGAAGAACCCCTCTACCTCCTCTCTTGGCACCAGAAAGGGCCTCTGATAAATAACAAGGGCTTTCTGCCAAGAAAGAGGACTGAGCTGGAAACACCATGAAAAGAACTGGAACAATTTCCTTCCTTCTCTAAAACAAGATTAATACATTGTCAAATCTTCTGGGCCTAGAAGCATGATGGCCTCCTCATCTCAAACTTATCAGAACCAGCCAGGTGGCACACATGATAGGAGGCAATGAGATGAAGAGGAACTGGTTTCTGCAGAACAGTCAGTCCCCTATCGATATGGCCCATGTAGCTTCACTCTGAAATGCTGCTCCTTGGGCATGAGACTTGATCACCTTCTACTCAACATGTATTAAAAGGCAGCAAAGCCACACACAAGCGATGACACAGATCAACTCAAAACAGATTGGTATCCTTATGGCTTGTTAAAATCAACATTGTTAAAATGGCTATACCAGCCAAAGTGATTACAGATTCAATGCAATGCCCATTAAAATACCAGTGCCATTTTCTTTTGCAGATCTAGAAAAAATAGTTCTACTCTTTATATGGAACTAGAAAAGACTCCAAATACCCAATGCAACCTTATGATGTAATAAGAACAAAGTGGAGGCATCACTTGACCAGACTTTAAGTTATAATACAAGGCTACAGTAACACGAATGGCTTGGTATTGGCACAAAAATAGAGACAAAGACCTATGGATTAGAAAAGAGAACTGAGAGATAAAACTGTCCTCATATACCTATCTGATCTTTGACAAAGCAGACAAAAGCATACACTTCTATAAATGGTGCTGGGGGCAGCACCTGCGGCTCAATGGGCAGGGCACTGGCCCCATATACCGAGGGTGGCAGGTTCAAACCTGGCCCTGGCGAAACTGCAACAAAAAATAGCCAGGCATTGTGGCGGGCACCTGTGGTCCCAGCTACTTGGGAGGCTGAGGCAAGAAAATTGCTTAAGCCCAGGAGATGGAGGTTGCTGTGAGCTATGTGATGCCATGGCACTCTACCGTGGGTGATAAAGTGAAACTCTGTCTCTACAAAAATAAATAAATAAATACATAGTGCTAGGAGAACTGGATAGCTGCATGTAAAAGACTGAGACAGGACTGGTACTCTCAATAAGCACAAAAATTAATTCATGATGGATATAAGACTCAAACCTAAGGCATGAAACAATGAGAATTCTTGAGAAGAATGTTGGAAAAACTCTTATGGATATCAGCCTAGGGAAAGAATTTATGAAGAAAACTCCAAAAACAATCACAGCAACAGCAACAAAAAAATAGGATCTGAACAAATTAAAAAATTTATGCACAGCCAAGGACATAATCAACAGAGTAAATAGATGACCTACAGAACAGGAGAAAATACTTGCATGCTATGTATCTGAGAAAGGGCTGATAACTGGAATTTACAAAGAACTCAAGCAAATCAGCCAGAAAAAAATAAACAATCTCATTAAAAAGTGAGTGAAAGACAAGAATAGAAACTTTTCAAATGACGATGGTCTAATGGTAAAAAAAAATATATGAAAAAAAATGCTCAATATCTCTAATCATCAGGGAAATGCAAATCAAAACCACAATGAGATATCTAACTGCAGTGAAGGATGGCTCTTATCTAAAGTTCCAAAACAACAAATGCTGACATGGATGTGGAGAGAAAGGAACACTTATATACTGTTGATGGGACTGCAAGCTAGTATAGCCCCTATGGAAAGTAGCAAGGAGATGCCTCAAAGAACTAAAAGTAGATCTACCATTTGATCCAGCAATTCCACTACTAGGTATTTATGAAAAGGGGGAAAAAAGACATTTTATCAAAAAGACGCTTGCACGTGGATGTTTCTAGCAGTAAAATTCACATTAGTAAAGATGAGGAAACAGCCCAGTGTCCATCAAGATATGATTAACAAAATATGGTATATAAAAACCATGGAGTACTACTCATCCATAAAAAATAATTATCTATTATATTTTGTAACGACCTGGATGGAACTGGAGACCATTCTTCTAAGGAGACCATCCTTTAAGGCCAATGTCATACTTTTAAGTGAAGTATTGCAAGAAGGGAAAAACAAATACAAGTCACCATGGCAGGGGCTTGCCTAGGGCCTCCTCTCTCTGCTCAATGTTCTATCCCCAGAGTGTGCATTCTTCAACTATTCCCGTGAAAATCCCACTCATCCTTTAAGGCCCATGTCATGTGTCACCACCTTGCTCATGCCTTGCTACAGAATGAAGAGTGCCCTCTGTCAGCTCGCAGGCATTGCATCCAGTCCTGCCTCTGACCTTCCTGCATCCCAGTGTCTTCTGTGCCTTTGCTTGTACAGACAGGTGTCAGCTGCTCTAGCAGGCTGTTAAAACTCTTCAAGGACAGCCAGGGCCCTGCTTTCTGTTTTCTACCATCAAAGATTATCCAGAACTGTGTGGTAAAGAACACAGGGCATGATCAATAAACCCTGGATGAACCAGGAGACAAACGTTGGAAAACACTGAGGCACACTTCACATCTGTCCTGATGGGAGGCACTAGCCGGACATGCCTCCACCTTCCCAAGAAAGCACAGCCCACTCAGGTGGGCCCCAGGGGAGCCCTTGCCCTCTGTACACACCCATCTCCCACATCAGAAAGGGGGTGTGACCCCCTAGGTTCTGTAGGACTGGAACCATCCCAAGCTTTTAAGATAGTGACAAATATGTAAATAAATAAGAGGTGAGGAAAATAAGATGCAACTTGGTCCAAAATATTTAGTTTACCTATTCAAATAAATAAAATATTTATCACCTCTATGGTCTATCTTACAAGGACATAAGTGAATCTTTCTAAAACTAGACTATAAATGTCTTAACACAATAACTAAGTAAATGACATAAAGTCTATGTTAACCAGTTTGATGAAAATATTTCAAATTGTATATGAAAACACTACACTGTACCCCATGTTTGTATTAATGTACACAGCTATCATTTAATAAAAAAAGAAATAAAATATTTAATGTCATGCCTAAAGTAATGGCATAGTAAGAAATAGACATTTATCATGGTAGAATAGGAACACTACAGTTTATATCATGCAATTGCCTGTGACAAAGCTGAGTGGGCAGTTTGAGAAGACTAAATGATTTACTCATTATTTTTTCTTCTCCACTAGAATTGTATTGTCAACTGATAAAGATCTTGAATTTCTCACTCGATTCCTTTATTTTATATAACAAACATGGTGCATGAGGACTCCAAGTTATACAAAGTCATTTTTATAGAGGTTATGATGACCTGAGAGAGCTGCTATTTCTACTGGAGATTTAATTTCCCTAATTGATTTACATTTCTCAGAATTGCTGGATTATAAGTGATAAAAGATAGTGCTGTCTAATATGATTTATTCTAATACAGACTTTCCCCCACAATTGCAAGGAGATTCTCTTAATGGAACACTTTCAACAATAGCCCTTTTTAAAAAAAAAAAAAAACTTCAAAAATTTACATATAAACTAGTACTATATCTAATGTGTAATTTAAAATTTTAAATCTTACAGCCCAAAGTGTTGAAATCCCTTCTGAGTTCTCCTTCCTGAAAACAATTGAATATAGTGAAACATTTAAAACTAAACATGTTATCATCCAATTGTTTGTAGTAGGCACTTTAAACAGTTCATTTAGATTTCTGAATTTTGAACTTATATAAGCCTATTTTAGCCAATTTATTTAGGAAATTCATTTTTGCCTTTCCACTGGTTTTCCAATTTCATGTGGAAATGAAGCACAGTCCACTAAGAAGAGTAAATGGATGTGTCTGAACCTCAGAATGGTTGCATGCAGGCCTCAGCTAATGAGAATTCACCATCTCTCAGGCTAAATGTTTAGACTGCCTTTCTTATTCACTGTGTATGTAAAATTTCTGTTTTGCTTTGTTTTAAATGGGGAAATCAAAGTCAAAACAAATTTTCTGATGCACAGAAAAAAGATTCAAAGATTTAGCATGAGGCCTCTACTGTAGAGTTTTCATAGAAAAGTTGAGGGTGGCAATCTGAACGCCATACTGAACCCTCATGAGCTTTTGCAAAGGGTAGAGTGAGTGATTGTGAAAAAGGCAAGTCAGGAAGTGAAGCATCCTTCCTAATCTGTGAATTCCCCACCCACCACCATCAAGTGAAGAAAGGAATCTCACAGTCTTGTCCTAGGTATAGGTCATCACAGATAAAGAACTGGGTGGTGGTCTCAAGGGCTACTACCTCCAAGAGGACACTGTCCTTCAACCCTCTCCTCTGGATCCCAACAAGTGGCCTCGATGCTCAGACTTAGCCCATGCACCTGCAGCTTCTCCTTCTTTGGAAAACCCGGATGTGTAATTCCCAGCTCCTGTCTGCATTTCCACCCTGGGGCAAGCTCATCCTTGCCCACACACTAGCTGTATGCACACCAGCAGCTTTCCTCAAAAGGTCTGGGGTAACCCACCCCAGCATAGCACCTACTGGACACTGTGCTTTTGCCTTTATGTCTTACATAAGCTACTATGTAGCACATGTTCAACTCAGTTTCACAGATGAAAGTATCCCTAGCTCTGTAGGGACACATAAAGAACATAGACATTATTTGATTAGGGGAAGAAAAGCCTTAACATAAGACACAATGTATATGTATGTATACTTTTTATTAAGATTCACATAACATAAAATTAACTATTTGAATGCGTAATTCAGTGTCACTTAGTACGTTCACAGCATTGTATAACTATCATGTCTTTCTAGTTTCAAAATATTTTTATCATCCCCAAAGGAAACCTCATATCAAATTCCCTCATATATCCAGCCTCTGGCAAACTACTAATCCGTTTGCTGTCTTCATGGATATACTTATTAATAATATTTCATATAAATTAAATTATAGATAATTAACTTTCTGTATTTGGTTTCTTTCATTTATCATAATGTTTTCGAAGTTCATCCACATTGTAGCATGTACCAGGATTTCATCCCTTTTTATGGCTGAATAATATTCCATTTAATAGATATATATATACCATATTTTATTTATCATTGAAAAGTATTCATGTCTTTGTCCACTTTTTAAGGAGACTGTTTGATTTTTTTCCCACTGATTTGCTTGAGTTCTTTGTAGATCCTGGTTATTAGTCCTTTATCAGTTATATAGCATGTGAATATTTTTTCCCCATCCTATAGGTTATCTATTTGCTCTGTTGATTATTTCCTTGGCTGTGTAAGAGCTTTCTTAATTTAACTGAGTTCCTTTTATTTAAATTGATGGCAGACAAAATTTGGCTGGTGGGCTTTATTTGTAGACTCCTGCTTTAGAATACTTAAATAATTACAATTAGCATTCAGATCTGGGATCCATTAATGCAAATCTAATAACAATGAATGAAAATAAATGCAAAACCCATACTCTTGGACTCTTATTCCTTGACTATCATCCAATTTTCATTTACCAGAAACTTGAAACAGAGGGTGCTGTTTATGTCTAAACCTTATCCATACTTATTTCTGCCACTATCAATGACGAACCTTACAGCTTCACTTATATAGAAACTGCCCACCTGGTTACTCAGCTGGAGTGCTGCAAACCTCCACAGCAAGTGTTACAGTACCATTCTGGTTTACTCAGGGGTGAAAAATGCCATAGGAGTCATTTATTATTATGATAGGAGGAAAAAAATCCATCTATGCTGCTTTTATATATATATTTATTCCCCATACAAATGATTATTTGATGACCAGGTATAAAACTATAACCTGAGTTCTAAAGTTTCCAGTTAAATCATTTCTGTTCAACTGAATAGGTTTAATCAAGGATCCTGTCTCCCCCATCACTTCTGGTTTTCCCCAAATTCCTCAAAGCAAATAATGAACAAAACCCCAAAGAGTGAGACCATTTGCTATGTGGATGAGATGCCAGTATGTACATTGATCAACTTTGCAAGCCGTGGCTGAGGTGGAGCTCATTGCACAACTGTGCTCTACCTGAGTCCAGTTCTAGGACAATGTCCCTGAATCCATGGTGCTAAGAGTGATCATATCCAGTCATGGGGCAGCTGCAAGAGGCCTATGCTCCCCATTCTGCTCCCTTTAGGGGAGTTTATCTCCACTGTCAAAGCCATCACCCCTGCACAATGAAGACCAGTGTCACAGACAGGGTGGTATCCCTGGGAAAAAGGGCATAGACTTCCCCCTACGCAAGGCCAGCAATCGATCAATGCCCCTAGTTCACCCATGGTGTAGGAAAATCACCCTTAGCAGAAGCGGCAGCCCTGATGTGGACTGAGCTCAGTCACCATGACTCCCTGCTACAGCCCACGGTGTACTCACTTGGAGGTGTTTTCAAGTATTCCTTTGACTTCATTCATTTCTTCTTTCCCAAAGTAAACAACGGTGAGATGAACCCTCCCATCCTGCTGGATGCACATCTCCCTGGAAAACACAACACACACACGTCTGGTTCCTGTTTTTGTATTAACAGGCAAGTCACAAACAGCTTTTTTGTAAAGTATGGAAGGGCCTTGAAGTAAAGTTAAGAAAGCAGCCAGGAGAGCAGACACGGGATTCACGGCACTTCTAGTTGGTCATCCCAGCTGCCTGCATTTAGATTTATCTCACTGGGAAAACAAGAACATTTAAACATGTAGATCCCATAAATCAAAACTCAGATGCAAGGCAGCCCTGGTCTCATCTGCTACAGGCCTCCCCACGTGGGGCCTGGGTTCTTAACCCCCAAAAGAAGTCTGTGAAATACAAATGACATGAATCCCACCTTACAGATGAGAAAGCTAAAGTCCGAGCGGGTAAGCATCCTTATCTCTGACTCCATTCCCTTGGGTGGACTCGGTACAAATCTTCTTAAAGACCGAATGAGCAAAGGTAAAAGTTCTTTTGTGTAGGATTCTAGAAACCCTTGGAAGCATCCAGTGTAATGACTGTCCGAGTGAGCAACAAGGCAGATGCACGGTCACTGAATTTCATCTTTCCCAAGCAGATGTGACTGCCTTCACTATGATCCCACAGAGTCTCTGTGACTCTGATTGTCCTAGGCACCTGGAACCTCATGCATGCCTCAGGGTCCTGACAGAGCAACCCGTCCATCCAGGCCTAGGCCTCCTTTCTTTTTTTTGAGACAGAGTGTCACTATGTCACCACCCTCAGTAGAGTGCTGTGGCATCACAGCTCACAGCAACCTCAAATTCTTGGGCTTAAGTGATTCTCTTGTCTCAGCCTCCCAAGTAGCTGGGACTATAGGCACCTGCCACAACAGCTGGCTATTTATTTTGTTCCAGTTGTCATTGTTGTTTAGCTGGCCCAGGCTAAGTTCAAACCTGCCAGTCTTCGGTGCATGTGGCCGGCACCATAACCACCATGCTAAAGGCTCTGAGCCCAGACCTCATTTCTCATTGGCCCATGTCTTATCCTCTCAACCATATCCCCAAATCAATCTAGTAAGGTCTTCTGGTGAGGGTTTCCTTTATATACATATGTGTGTTTGTATAAATGTGTGCATGTGTATATATGTGTGTGTATATATGTATGTAAATATATACACGTGTGTAAATATGTGTATGTGTAGGTATGTACACAGATGTATAGTCATCTGTCAGTCTGTGGGGGATTGGTCCAGGACCCCTTGCAGATATCAAAATCCATAGATACTCAAGTCCTTTATACAAAAAGAAGTGAAATTTGCATATCAACCATGCACATCCTCTTATATACTTAACCATCTCTAGATTACTTTTAATGCCTAATATAATATCACTGCTATGTAAATAGTACTGTATTGTTTAGGGAAAAAAATCACTAGATAAAAAAAATCTGTACATGCATTTAGGTTGTTTCAACAGTTTGGCAATTGTAAAATTGAGCTGTGTAAATAGTCTATTGTGAGTGTCCACAATTGATGACTTAGTACATGGTAGGGGGTGGGGGAAGGGGAGAGCAGAGAGGAGGAAGGAGGGAGGGGGTGGGAGGTTATGGTGTGTGACACACTTGTTGGAGGCTGGACAAAATTATAAGAGGCACTTTACCTAACAAATGCAGTGTAACCTGTTTCTCTGCACCCTCAATAAATCTTCAACAACAAAAATAAATAAAATAAAATAAAATTAAAAAAGAAATCTGTACATGCTCAGTACAGATGCAACCATTTACTTCTTGACAGTATTTTTGATCTGTGGTTTGTTGAATCAAGGGTGTGGAGCCCATGGATACAGGGGGCTGAGTTTGTGTATGTGTATAATTTTAACATGAGTTTTCTAGAGGCGAGTTCATAGAAAGATTCTTCTGGTGGGATGATATTTTGCAATATTTTGCATTTTGTTTTGCCCTGCCATTTTGTTTCTTTTATATCTGGGTTGGCTACTTTCCCCCAAAGAACAATGCACATCATAGCTTTCTAAAAATTCCTGAGCTATAATTACAGAAGTAGGTTTATTCAATACCTATAATAATGATAATCAGAAAAGAGCAACTACCTTCTTAGGGTGGCTGGAAGAAAGCCAAAGCAATAGGAGATGTGGTTCTTGCCCTCAAAACACTTAGTGGGGAAATAAAATGAGCTCAAATAAAAATCCTCAGACACTCCACGGCCCTGATAAAAAGAACATGAAATTCGAAAAGCACAACAAAGGCTGGGGGTCTTGAAGGATGAACAGGGTTTAGAAAGGCAGAGAGAATTCCAGATGGAAGAAGTAGGGAAGATGATCTCCACTGGGCAAGGGGTACACAGGGCTCCTCCGCCCATGGGCTTGGTCCAGAGAATTTGGTTTCATTCCTGTGGAAGAAGGACAAGAGCTGCCTTGGGACACCAGAGTGACAGAAGAGGTCCTAGAAGTGGACAAAAGACTGGGAACAGAGGCCTAGGGTGTGACAACATGCTTCAAAAACAAGAACCAAGGTCCCTGCACACTGAATCATCACCAACCAACAACAATACTCTCTGCACATAAAAGATCTCTTCCACAAACTTGCCAGACAATACCTCAACTTCTTTTGCCAAGGTAGCATCAAAGCACACACACAGGGCTAAGTGCCAGAAAAACTGTGCTAGAAAATTGTATGTGCTGTTGGAAAAAATCCATCCCAGAATCAAGAGAGGATCACCAGCAGAGCTTGAATAAAAAGCACTCTAATTGTTCTAATGACATCTTTGCTGTTTCCCCCTTCTGACTATTTTTATATCCATTCAAAGAACTTGCTATTTTTATGAAATAAGAGAGAGATGCACTGGGACTTTACTCTTTGTGACCAAGTGAGCCTGTACATAATAAGTCATGTTTTTCCCTTGAGAAGTTCTCCATCTACCGTGCAAAACTAAAACTATCTATGATGTAATAAACAAATGTTCTAGAAAAGCATGAGCCTCGTACTGTGGAAACATCATCACTATCTATCTGAATGATCTTTGTCTTATTCAAAACAATTCTCACTAGAGTTCCTCCTCCAGAAAGATGTGTATGAAAAAGAGTATGTATGTGGGTGACTGTTTTCATGAGTATGATTGGTGGTTTGGAAGTAAAGGGTTAAAAATTCCAGCAGCAGGGGTCCTCAAACTTTTTAAACAGGGGGCCCTCAGACCGTTGGAGGGCCAGACTGCAGGCCCTGGGACGAGTTGGCCGCTAAGCAGGACAGGTAGCGGCGGCAAAAACACCCAGCGGGTTGGATAAATGTCTTGGGTGGGCCGCATGTGGCCCCCGGGCTGTAGTTTGAGGACACTTGGATAAGGGATGAGAATTCAGTTTCAGGGTAGATTTCAGACTCCTAGGTTGATGCTGTTAATTACAATAGGATCTCTGTAAGTTGACCACCCAAATTGGTCAATATAAGGAATTGTCATTGAGTACATATAGTGCCTGTCCAGTCTGTGAAAATTAGGTCAACTTAAAGAAGTGGTCAAGGTACAGAGGTGGTAAGCTACAGAGGTTCTACTGTATTTGTACCTGCACACATGCCACCTGGATCCCTTGGGTGGTCTTTTGTGCTTCTGGTATAGTATCTCTGAGAACAACTTATTATTGCATGTGAAATCTTTCTAATGCATCTCAGGGACTCCAACTTCTCAGGAGCCTTTGGGAACGTATCACTTCCTCACAATTGCTATACACAAGCTCTCCAACTCTGACATGGCCACATGGTCGACCTTCTTCCTGAACCTGGAAGCCCCCAAATTCTGCTTCTATTCCACAAAGACTTTATCTTCATAGGACGACGATTTTTCTTGGAAAAAGAATAAAACACTTCCTTCTGTTAAGATACTGTAACACCCTAAGTGTAGAATATAAATGTCTTAACACAGTAACTAAGAAAATGCAGTGAAGGCTATGTTAACCAGTTTGATGAAAATATTTCAAATGGTATATAAAACATTGGACCCCATGATTGCATTAATGTACACAGCTATGATTTAATAAATAAAAAAAAGATATTGTAACATGGAGTATGGAAACAATCTAGATAGAAGATATATTTTTGGTCAGAAAACATGCATGACAGTCACTCGGACACCTATATTTTTATTTCCTAAGAAGTCAAAAACCCCTTCCCAGGAGTGTTGAGGAGAAGGGAATATCCAAGCTGGTTCTTGCCAGGTGGGGAGCTGCACACAGGTGGAGAGAACAGAGAAAGAGCCTCCACGGTAAGACCAGGCACCTGTGCAAGGAAAGCACATCACTGTTTTTTCTTAGTCAGTTTTCTACTCAAATGTATCAGGTATGAGAAGAAAATCTATGTAGGCTTTAAGTGATACATGAAGTAGGCATGAAGTGATACATCAGAGCTCATTAATTCTGAACTTGACCTCTGCTATAATAACAGGAAGAAAATCCCTTGGCCATGAAGGGCTTGGGAACCAGAAGCAGGTACCACGTTGCAGAGGAAGCAGAGTTATTGGGACCTTCTGGAATCTGGGTTTAAAAAGCAGTATTCTGCCTTTGGTTTGGTATCCCCCCATCAAGAAGAATTAACATGTAATTCTTGTGTCTCATTATTTGAGTAGTCTGATCAGAGTTACAAGAAATGAGAGTGAGTTTTTACTCTCAATCAAGCAGTTGGGATCTACTTTCAGATTGCCTGTTTCAGAGCAGAAAATGAGATCATTTTCCATTTGATCTTTTTTTTTTTTTTAACTCTTGAATAGAGGTTTCTACACAACCTGGGGCTCATATGAAATAAAAACCACCTTTTATTTAAGGGCCCAGAGAGAAACCTTTATCCAAATAAGGTGATTTGCATCTCTCAAACATTTTAGACATAAAACTTTCTTGGTGGATCCTTAGTGTACAAATAGTGAAATGACCCATGGGAGAGGGAGGCAGGATTGGATAAAGTGGGAATAATATTATACTATGCACAATAATTTTCCTTTTGAGGAACACAAAGAAAATGAGGAATCTCTGTCACAAACCAACATTTGATGGCCTGTGGCC